AAAAAAAAAAAAAAGTAATGTAATGTCTCTAAATTGTCTGAATTTTAGTTTCTTCAACTATAAATAAGAATGATAGCATCTACCTCACGGGGTTCTTGTAAGAATTTTAAATGTCTGAAGGGCACCGAGCATGGAACTGGAGACTTGGGTTTGTGGCCTTTCCCAAGGATGCACTGTGCTCAGCACCACCCACAGGCCCTGGAACGGCAGTTGTCAGAAGACACTGTCAGGTGCTGCTCTTGCTAGTGTTTATTGTACTTGGGTTTCTTAGGCACTGCTATCCTTCCAATTATAATGTGCTGTTTTAGACAATGCAGCCTATTCCATCTAAAAAGGGGTATGGTGACAGTTTGAGTAAGCTGCTTCTAAAGTTATTAGATGTCTTACTTTTCTTGGACAGTGCTTTGCTGAATTGAAGAAGTAGAAGTGAGGGGAGAGCTGCTATTTGCTGTGCCAAGCACTATGCCAGTTCTTTTATTTATTTATTGAGACAGTGTCTCACTTTGTCGCCCTTGGTAAAGTACAGTGGCATCATAGCTCACAGCAACCTCAGACTCTTGGGCTCAAGGGTACCCACCACAACACCTGGCCTTTTTTTTTTTTTGGCCAGGGCCGGGTTTGAACCCACCACCTCCAGTATATGGGGCCAGTGCCCTACTCTTGAGCCACAGGCACCACCTCACACCCGGCTATTTTTCAGAGACTGGGTCTCACTCTAGCTCAGGTTGGTCTCTAACCTGTGAGCTCAGACAATCTGCCTGCCTCGGCCTCCCAAAGTGCTGGGGTTATAGGTCTGAGCCACCCCACCCAGCCTTAGTTCTTTTATGTTTTAATTATTATTTTTTTTTTTCGAGGCAGAGTCTTGCTTTGTCACCTTTAGTAGAGTGCCCTGGCATCTTAGCTCACAGCAACCTCAAACTCTTGGGCTCATGTGATCCTCTTGCCTCAGTCACCCTAGCAGCTGAGACTGCAGGCGCCTACTACAACACCCAGCTATTTTTAGGGACGTGGTCTCGCTGTTGCTCAAGCTGGTCTTGAACTCTTGAGCTCAAGCAATCTATCCCACGTGGCCTCCCAGAGGCTGGGATTACAGGAATGAGCCACCACACCAGGCCTGCCAGTTCTTTTATACAAGCAAGCTAACTTGTATAGCCTTATGAACTAGGTTTTATTGTCATTATTATTTTTATGATTACCAATTTTATGGATGAAGAAACTGAGACTCAGTGAGGCTAAGAAACTTGTCCTAGGGGTACAGAGTTAGTAAGTACTAGAACTGGCATTCAGCCCTAGTTCTGTCTGATGCCAAAGCCTGCCTTTTTATGTTCCATCTTTTTTTTTTTTTTGAGACAGAGTCTCACTATGTCGCCCTTGATAGAGTGCCGTGGTGTCATAACTCACAACAATCTCAAACTCTTGGGCTTAAGCGATTCTCTTGCCTCAGCTTCCCAAGTAGCTGGGATTGCAGGTGGCTGCCACAATGCCCGGCTATTTTCTGTTGCAGTTGTCATTGTTGTTTAGCTGGCCTGGGTGAGGCTCGAACCTGCCAGCTTCTGTGTATGCGGCTAGCGCCATAACCATTATGCTATAGGCGCTGAGCCACGTTCTATCCTTTTTTGACTTCCCAGGGTGCTCAAACTCTGAAAAATCAGATCACATGAACTTAACTTTCTACCAAGTTTTTCACTTCAATGGGAGATATCCAGTGACTAGAATGTTCGTGCTGGTATCCAGGGCTCTCCCTTCCTTCCAGGTATCACAGGTGTGAGCCACTGTGCCCGGCCTGCCTTCAGAACCTGGGGAACCAAACTGCTATTGAGAAAGTTTCTTAGTCAACATGGACTCAGTTTACTGGAAGATTTCACTTATGTGTTAAATTGGAGAATGTTTTCAACTTCTCTATTGAGCATACTTTTCTAGGGACTGAAATATATTTGCATTTCCAGATATAGGATTTCTATCTCTTGGATGTGAACTTTACTCCCCAGGTTGCCTTGTTACTCCCTAGAGCTTGCCACTCTCTTCTTACACAGTTCATGTTAAGCTTATGTTACAAGAGTTACATTTTAGTCTTCTTGCGATTTGAGAGAACGTGTTTGCTGGAGCTCCAAGCCATAAACTCTTAGTTCCATTATAAAAACTATTTCTGACCTTATTCAAGAGAAGATGTGCTTTACTTGGCTCCTATATCTTATCTATATGCTCAGTAGCAAATTGCTATTTGGATCATTCTGTATGGGGTCAAAATAAAGTTCATTTTCTTTTTACCACTGAGGGTTTTATAACCCTGCATAGAATCAGAAGAAAGGCCAAATTAAATAGGCCGATTGGAAATTGTTTTTGATTTTGTATTATGAGTGTGTTTGTGTTTTCTCCAAGGGCTAACTTGAGACTTTTTTCCTTGTTTCGTTTGCACTGGCTTCTTGTGGAGCGACTTGCAGAAGCATGTCACATTTCTTAACTTTCTTCCTTTCTCTCCTGTGGTTTTTCAATCTTTAGGTGAAGGAAATCACCCGTGATATTAAGCAGTTAGATCACGCCAAACGCCACCTGACCACCTCTATCACAACCCTGAACCACCTGCACATGTTGGCAGGCGGCGTCGATTCCCTGGAGTAAGCAACATGAACTTTCTCTTTTGCGTCCACGAGAAATATATCATATAAAGAAAATGGCATTACATGTTTTTTCACTTCTTAGCCAGAGGAGTCTCACCAGAACTGTCCCACTTTCTGCAAGTGGGCCCTGAGTGAAATTTGCTTTGCCCTCTGGTGTTCAAAACTTCACAAGCACCTAAAGCTTTGAAGTAAATGAGGTGCAGGTGAGTCTGAAGGAGACTCAAAAAGCCTCTGAGAACAACTGCTCATTTTTATGTAGTCGATCTATACCGTTAAGACAGACAAGGTGATTTCAGCCCGTATTTACACCCTGTAGCCTCTGCCTTGGCAACTCTTCTTGCTGTTTTTGGAGTGAGTTGCAATGTCATTGAAGAAACCAAATGGAAACAGATCTCTGATTTGTCATTCAACCTCTTTTTATATCTATACCCATTTTTTTTCCAAGTCAGTAGTTTCCTATTTGGCTTTTAGTGGGAATGATATTTGAGAATGCTAGAAATAGTATTAAAAGGAATAGCTGGTCATTTATCACAAAGAAGCAATGCAAAGCCTCCTTTGGTAGCAAGATTCTGTCATTCCATTTTGTCTCTGGTCTGTCTCAGGCTGAGGATTTTCCCTGCCCCAGCCTCAGTGTACGTCCATGTGTGGACGAAGAAAGAGCCTCTCCACAGAAACTGAGAAGCAGTATCCACAGTCTTGGGGAAGAGGGAGGGAGAATAAAGTGAAGGGAAGCAGAGGAGCAGGTGGGCTCTTCCCTGTCTCTCCTAGGTGTTGCATGAGCTCCAGGGCACCCTTGGTCCCTTCTGGGAACAGCGACAGCTGTGGCCAGTGGGAAACGGAAACAGCAGTCCCCTGTGTTCCTTCCCTAGGTGCTCAGTGTTGCCCACCGAACTGTCAGACTGGACAGTGGTAGCAGCATAACATCTTGACTTGAATTTGATCCTTTTTCAATAACTCTTAATGGAAATGATAAATATAATTTAAAAGCCCAACCCTAATGAAAAATTTAGCTCTAATAGTTTCTACTTTGTCCCTATAACTGTTGATCATATCAGCATCTTCATGTACCTTAGCACAGGGAAAGCAGACATCTCTCTGACACAGAGTTCATCATTGCCTTAAAACCTACAGATTTGAGTTAACATGTAAGTGCATATAAATGCCCTTTGTTGTATCCTAGAAAGATGTGTTTGATTTGTCCAAATGCTATAATCCTTGTACAGTAACATCCCTACCCCTGTTCTTTGCCAGAAGTGCACTAATCCCATACTGCTCAATCTAAATCCATAAAGTCTTCCCAGATTCCCCTCCCCAACCCAATGAGAATTTATTGCCTACACATTCTTTTGGAGTCCCCATAGCACATAACTTGAAGTTCTTTTGTTGTTGTTGTTTTTGAGACAAAGTCTCACTT